AGACAAGAGGATCGAACAGTAAAGAATCAAAACAAGATGCGATTCTAATAAAAATGCAAGAACAATGAAGTTTGAGTCATTTTTAAACAATTGATGGACATCTTGCAAATTACGTATTTACTATGTGATTGTTAGATTTCATTAACAAGTCCTATAATTTTGTGTCAAATACATTCAGTTGTCCTCAGCCGTGTTCTGTTCACTACAATATGATTATGGATGCGTACTGCAGAAAAGTCTCACATTTTGGTGAAATAGATGTACGGTAAATATAGGTTTCAATCTACAGTGCGAGAGAACAAACTAGAACCCAGAGGAAGAAAAGATAAAAAGAAGAACTGGAAGTAGATAGGACACACATTGAGGAAAGCACCATACTGTGTCACAACGCAAGCCCTCACATTGAATCCTCAAGGCCAAAGGAAAAGAGGAAGATCAAAGAACAGATTACGTCGAGAAATGGAGACAGACATGGTAAGGGTAAACAAGAATTGGATAGAACTAGGAAGGAAGGCCCAGTACAGTGTGTGTGGGAGAATGCTGGTTGATGGCATATGCTCCCGATAGGGAGTAAAAAGCGTAAGCAAGTAACAAGGAGATTTAAATAAGTTTTATTAATGTTCAGGAGCTATTCATTGAAAAGTATTCTATTGTGTCTCATGACATTGTAAGATAGGAGAATTTATCCTATATTGAAAAGAAAATTTATATCGATATTTTAGCCAATTAGTTGCGTGGATATGCACTGCTAAGAAGTCTCACAATAAGACGAATTGGCTGTCGAGTGCTTCCAGGCTTTTAATGGTAGTCTAAAATCAATCGATTCATGATCTCGATCAAAAACCTAAAAAACCTCCACAACCTAATACTGATAAAATGCGTTTGTTATGCAAACAATTCACAGAATTTTCTGCATTTTGACAACATAATCTGAGTTATTATTTAAAAGTAGAAAGAACTTGACAACTGCTTTATTTCTTAAAAGTGTGCATCTATGACTTTGAATCAACTCATACTCATAAAATCCTGATCTCATTACTGGCACAATAAAGTAAGTCCGTTGAGTTGGAATCCATTTTTTTTTCAATTTTTATTAATTCAATAAGAAAAAGAGAATTCAGCGAAGAAAATTTTCTTTTCGACGAAATCATTTACTTAAGCTGTACATTCGTATATATAGTTATATGGAAAATGTATGTCTATAGAAGGTTAGAATGGATTGTATCACAAAGAAATGGATTCGAGAATAAATAACAAATGAGGTTAACGTACTAATCAAGGGGTAAGGAGGAACAAAATTTATGGGTCAGATAATAGTCCAATTGACAACAAAGGTCATAATAATAAACTGAATGATAATCAAGAAAACTTGTAAAAGGTATTAATAATAAATGATTAGAGTTTAAAGTGCAAAATAGTAATTTAAAATATGGATAATAATAAAAGTGCATTAAAAAAACACACACCTAGAAACATACCCATTAAGGCCAAGGAAGGATAAGAGGTTGGACAAATCGTTTCTGCACGCAAAGTTCAGGCTTTAGTTTGTGGATTGCCAATGCCTCTGCGGTGCATAAAATATTGATTCGAACCCCCTTCGATCCAGTTCCTTTGACTCTGTAAACTATCTTAAACGAAGAGTCTTTTGGAGCGATATGTCCACAGTTGATTAAGTGCTCCTGTATAGAACTCGTGATTGTTTTTCGCTCCCCTTTCAAAAGCCAAGCCGGATAATGTTCCGAGATGCGTTTGGATAATGACCGCTTTGTGTGGCCTATGTAACATGCCCCACATGAGCAAGTAAATTTATAGATACACATTGAAGTGGCCCAAAGCAAAAGTTTGTTCTTAACACAACCCAGAATGGTAGGTCGGCTATAGAAGATGATTCGAAGCTTAGGTGCGTGGAATGTTTTATTCAATGATTTCGAAAACCTTATATTTAGGATTTCAGCAGCCGCATCTCCCTTAAATTCCATATTCATAAATAGTTTTTTTCTCTACTGTCAATGCTTCGTCATGAGATATAGGTGCCAAGTTTCTATCGATGAATCTCGGTGGATAACCATTTTTGATGAGAGTCTGTCGAAGATAAAATAGTTCCCCATCTATTGTGTCATTGGAACAAATTCACCTAATCCTTGAGGATAAAGAATGAATTAAGTTCCTTTTTCTACTTAATGGAACCCAACTGTGGAAGTTCGTGTTTAGTCCATTCCAAGTGGGTTTTCTATATGTCGATTTCTGTAATAAACCGTCAGGCATTCTTTTTAAATGGATATCAAGAAAATGAAATTCGTGGTTTGTCTCTGCTTCTAAGGTATATTGGATTGATGGGTGGAATGACAAAGCATTGACTGTAGAGACAAAAAACTCTATTTATGAATATGGAAGATATGCAAATGAATTATATAATGTATGGTCTCCATAACTTAGGTAAAAATTTAAAAAATATAAATTGATTATCGCCACCATGTCTTCGTTCGTTAAAGTATTTGATGAATCAGTATTATTTATTTTGAGGCTACTGTAGTGTTAGTCATTAGTTTTAGCCCATAATATATCTTATTCTAGTTTCCGGACATTCCATCCTATTCGTTCTACTTGAGTCATGTTTTGACCTTGTTAATTATTCGCTTATTAGTCTTGACTGTTTTCACATGAGCGTATATGTGTGTACACTTCATGTCCCATGACTCATCACATGTCTGTAGTTTATTTTGTCTGCCTATAGATATTGAGTAATGCCCGGCTTGAAATGGAGTTGGCTTCCCAGCCATCTTCCCTGCGCGTCATTTTTGCTTTGCTATGTTTCATTCGCTTCATGTACGAAATATATGTATTCTCAAGTCAATTCTCGTTATTCGACTTATTTAATTCCGTTATTGGATAACGCGATTTAAGTCGACGATGATATACGAGAAAAGGCGACAACAAACATTCGTACGCTCTAAATAAGAATCAGATTCACGGGCACAAAACTACTACTGAAATAGAAAAATATTTATTCAAATACACATAACTGTTTGATGAAAAAAATCCTGAGAAGGTTGAAAAGATATGTAGATAAGGTGAATGATTTTGATCGAGTATTATTTTCTGAACCGAATGGTTTCCTCGTAGAGCTTTCATTATTCTTCTGAACGACATCATCAACCAAAACTTCATATAGAATGATCTTTGTATAAATACGCTTGATTTGTGTGCCTGATTGACCTGGTTTCTGCTGGTTGATTGTAGAATACATTTCTACGTCTTACCAAGACTTCTTGATCGAGTTAACTGAGTCGGGGACAACGGATCAGAATAGCCTATCGAGTCTCTGAATCCTGATCCTTCATTCTGTTCCGTTCCGAATAAGCCGAATCAGTAGTAGCATTCAAGCTTAACGAGCATAACATCTAATCTTCTTATAACTGTATTTTCAAACATGTCGAAACTATTCAATTTCTTGTTATAACAAGGTTTCAGCAACATGCAAAACAATCATGAAACTTCTGTGTCAATTGTTAGCTGACAAACACCTTGGATTATTCAGTTACAACGTAACAATATCATGAATCTTATGTATATGAAGTGTTTCCACACCGTCTAGGAACTTCATGAGGTTCGTTTAATTTCTACTGATTCGGGTGCAGCAAATCAATTCATCTCTAGATTCACCATGAATCTACATTGACGATCCAACGTCGTTTCACAATGTTATGCGTCGATATAATGCACTGTATGTCGTAGATATGTGTATTTCTCTCAGTTTTTTGAGTTCGTACGTCACAGGATCGATGTTGTTCAGTGCACTACTGATCACATGATTTCACTGAGATTTTAATTTGAATAAATGAGAAAGTAGTCAACTCACATTGGTTTACATCTGAGACACAGTTGACATCACGACGAGCACGTATTCCACGTCCATACTACACCATTTCTTACTAGTGATGGTTTATCAAACGCTTACTTACCACACTCAAGTGTTCTAAGCACTTGAAGAGTGCATCGTGTTCACGATCACCTGTTAGACGTGTAACATTTGATATGAGTTCATGCATTGAACTTCAAATACTAGTTCATCATGTTAACGCTGATTGGTTCAGTCACAGTTACTGATGCAACACACCCTGATCAAGCTAATCAATTTCTATTTAACACTGATTAAATGTATTTACCATTGTAAAACTCTTGACACAACTTGTTTTAAGGAAAACTCGACTAAGTGAGAATTGTCATTGTTTTCGGAAGCATTTTGAAATTTGGTGAAACAATAGACTGTGAGACTGCAAATGTGATGTGTGCATCTTTAGACATGAACGTAGAAGTTTTTCGAGAAGCATTTGGTTGAAGCAATAATACTCAGTAATATTCAGCATTATTGTTCACAGATTTCCATGGGTTATAAATTAACACAGAAAAATAATTTTCAATTTAAAGCAAATAAGTTTACCGTGGAATGTAAATCATTCATCATATTTGGCTTGTGAGGTGGTTGGAGATAATAATAGGAAATTGTACGCCTAGGTAATCTGTTTGTCGACACTCGTTGATAAAATACATGAGGAATTATAAAGCAATTATTGTTACCCGTAAAATCTACTTCACTAAACATGATTGACCTGATATGTACTGGTTGCTTGTAGAATACACTTCTACGTCTTACCAAGACTTCTTGATCGAGTTAACTGAGTCGGGGACAACGAATCAGAATAGCCTATCGAGTCTCTGAATCCTGATCTTTCGTTCCATTCCGTTCCGATTAAGCCGAATCAGTAGTAGCATTCAAGCTTAACGAACCTAACAACTTCATCATTTTAATACATGAAATGATGATCATTAAAAAAATAGTTTCTTGATTTCTAATGAAATCAAACAGATTTTTATTGTGTCAAATAATTTGTTTCATAATAAATCTTTTTTTTATAAAAATAATCACTAAGATAATGTTCATTTGTTCACAATAAAAAAAAATCACAATGTTTAATTAAATAATAATAATAATAATAATAATAATAATAATAATAATAATAATAGTAACTCGGCCTGGAACCCATCTAGGGCTATTGCCTGTCCCAAACTTGGATAAAGTAGGAGGGTTCACAACCCCATACCGTAGAAAACGAACTCGCCAATAAACGCCAATCAAAAAGAAAAAATAAGTAGTAGTAATAATAATATTAGTAATAGTATGGAATTTTCCTTCGTTTCATTAATAATAAAAATAATAAAAATAAACAAATAAAGAAAGAAAGAAAGTAATAATCCTTGAAAATTATTCACAATAAAAAAACTGTATAGAGAATAAAAGTTGAGACAAATAAAGAAATATCAGTCATATAATAAATGATCACTTCAAATGATATGTTGTTCTAAAGTTTGTGTTTTATTGATTAATCTAATATTGTTAAATATAATTGAATTGTGGTTGATTTTCTTTTGTCATTTTCTTTTTTGTTTTTTCCCTTTTCTTCCTTCGTCTTCTTCTTATTCACTAACAAGTTTTAATAATATACGTCGATAATCTCCACTGGTATCATCCTGAAATTAAAATATACACAAGAAAATATTGTTTCAATGGTGGTCTAGCTTCAACTGATTCATGATTTCAATCTGTGAAAATTTCTTAAATCTCCACAAACCTCCTTCTGATAATAATCATCTGCTCATTAGTGATTGACTTCAAGAGACACTCCTGGAGTTCTAATGGAGTTCAACTAGGTCTGTTGTGAGATATCAGCTCACTGAAGACAATGGTATACGGTGGTGCAACTTCGTGGATTGGTTGAAGTTAGACATTAACACCGTTGGATGCCGGCTCAGTGGTTTAATGGTTAAGTGCTTGCGTGCGAAGTCAGTTGATCCTGGGTTCGAGTCCCGCGGGGTGCGGGATCGTGGAAGCGCACTGTTGAGGTTTCCCATGCTAGGACGAAACGGCCGTCCAGTGCTTCTTGGTTTTCAGTGGTGGTCTAGCTTCAATCTGTGATATATTGGATCTGATTTACTATGTATACAGCATTTAAAGTGAGCTGTTAAAATGTTCAATTATAATTTAGACAAAGGTCAATTGTACAAGGATTTGAAAAGTCAATTATTTTTAATCAGTTCGATATTGGTGACCTGTATATTTTGCAGAAATTAAACAATGTTCTTGTAGTGTTGATTACTATTGCTAAGCTCACATAGCCTATTCTAGCTTCCAGACAAGCCAATTCATTTTTTTTATTATTGAGTCACATTTCGATCATGTCAATTATTTGCTTGTCAACCTTGACTGTTTTTATATGAGGGTTTGTGTGCATTTGTTATCCCAATCATCACATATTTGTAACTTATTTTTGTTCGGCTATTGTCTGAATCAACGAATGTATGAAATATACGAATTTGAAATTCATTCTCGTATTTGACTTATTTAATTCTGTTGTTCACTAACATGCTTTAATTCGATGATTATATACAAGGATAGGCGACATGTATATTTCAATAACAAACAGCATACGATCATATTGGAGTCAGATTTAGGGTCATTAAATTCTCATATATCTAATTGGTAATACATAATGAGTTATTTTTGTTATATCTTTCGTTACAATATTGTGTGTACACTTTTAATTTGGACATCAAGCAAAATCACTCCCTATACTCGGTACATGTAGAACTCTATAATTTTCTTCTAGAAATACAAAGTATCTATGCGATAAAAGCGCTGAGAATACATGGAGACGATAAAATGCAAACAGACCATGGGACTGTTGAATTACTCGACTCATTTAGACTTCCATATAGGATAAATTTGCTGTTAAAAAAGGTGAGCACTTTAGTGGGAACAAGATTAATATTTCCTAAATCATATAAAATGACGTTTTGATGGCCTCAATTTATGTATTCGTTGGATTGATTACATATACCCATAGATAGTAAAATAATATATATTTGTAAAAATTTATTGAAAGATAAACTTGTTAGATTTAAGACATTGAAGTATTCCAACTAAGCAATATTTAATATAGACTATTCATCGGTGTTAAGTAATTAAAGGCAATCAACATGATACCCTACTTAACTTTAGCTTAACTCTGTAATTCACACTTGTCAACAAGGTGTATGACCAGTTATGAAGCATCATGTAATATCCCGATCAAAAGTGTCATAAATGAGTTATTCAAGATATCATGTTACTGATTACCAGTACATGTTTACTGGTTACTGGTTGAGAGACAATCATAATCTACAAACAAAGATGGAGAGTGGCTGGTAGTGGAATCCAGGATGCACTTTTCGTCCTATTTGGGACTCTTCAACTGTATGTATGTACCTCGGAACCCAGTACAGTTCGTTTCAGTCGCCATCGCGTTATCTACTATGCTACTGTGCCCTGATGGCCACTTGCTTGTTCAATGGGGTAAAGTTTAAATTCATCAACTCTGAGATGCAGGTACATCCAACTGACGAGTCCCAAATAAGTCGGAACGCACGTCATAGATTCCATTGCTAGCCACTATCCATCTTTGCTTATAAAGCTTAAGGCAATATCGAGGCAGTCCACACAGGATGTACAGATACCAACAAGAGACTGATCAATCGCAGTCCTAAATAACAATAGGAAGATTCAAGTAAACAATGCCTAGTGAATTTAATCATAATCTAAGTTTGAATACTTTTGATGATATATATTAAAGTTGATGAAAGATACCCCTACGCTTTCATTTTAGCCTAATATTAAGCATGTTATTATATTATCCTTATTCTAGTTCCCAATTATTAATTTCACCAAAGTTGACATTATTTTTTTTCCTGCGTTTACTTTACCTCTTGATAACAAAGGAGATGAAAAAAAAATCAAACTGCGAAGCATAATTTGTGTTACTTTATGCCAATAAATATTTTTAAATTATGTAGAATGATAATAATTAGAACACTTAACTGAAGTAAACACTTCACATTGTGCGTAAATTTTCAGAGAGAGAGAGAGAAATGTGAGTAGCTAAACCGTTTAAGCCATGTGATTCATTCACGGGCCTGGTTACTATTACTAATTTCTTATTTTTAACATTAAATTTTTTTTAAACTTCAGTGTTATTGATCCCGGATTACTTGATGAATTAATTAGTCAGATAAATAGTTATCAATACATTTATAGTTGAATTCATGAGTCAATTGAAGGTAGACCACCAAGGAAAGCCTGGAATCACTGGACGGCCGTTTCATCCTATTGTGGGGCTCTTGCGCACGAACGCTTAACCTCTAGACCACTGAGTCGGTATCAAACGGCATTAATGTCTAACCTGAACAAATCCTCGAAATTGCGCAACCATCTTCCATTGTACTCAGGTAGATACCTGTCTTTACTCGACACAGATTAGCTCCACTGGCCACGGCTTCTCAATAGGACTCCGAGAATTCACTCAAGAAGCTAACCACTAGTAAGCATATGGTTAGTTTTCTATAATAACATATTCATAGGTAATCTATAAATAATCGACTGGAAGAATAATTTCTATGACTGTTTTAAGACTTTTTGTAGTTTTGTATAACTAATTGAACTTAGTTCGACAATCATTAGAAACGAGAAAGCACTGGATAGCTATTCCATCCTAGCATGGGGAGTTACAACAATAATCATGTCTGACCAAATCAGAGATCGGATTTAGGGTCGTTCATTCTTGAGGTAAGTACTAAACCTTCATACCACAGAACTGGCACTCAATCAATTCATGATACTGTGAAATACAATTTATGGATAAATCATTTATACCCAAAATGTTTTATTCTTGTTTATTTTTTAGTAGTTTACATTTAAGTCAACCGTAGCCTTTATTAGGATTTTCCTGTAAATGCAACATAAAATGCGTAGAATGTTCTTGTTTCTACTTATAATTATCATCGTTTCTAGGTTTTAAAAAGCTGGAAAAGAACCAATAATTAAACAGATTCATAATATTTTGCTACGGTTGTTATTCTTTAGTGACAAACTATCCTCACTCGAATGAATCATAATGCAAGAAATATTTATTCAGTTTATATTAATGCTTCTTAAATAAATAATATCTTGATGGAGTTTTGTTCTCTCAGCTGGATGGTTTGGTCGTGGAGCTTTCGTCGTTCTTCTGGATGACATCATCAGCACGAACTTCAGGTAGAAGTGAAGTGTTCGAATTTATTCACATTTAACTCATAGCTTGTCCTGTAGACCTCGCTGTTGAATGGTTCTTGTTGGCATTTAACTTCTCATTGTTTACTTCTTTGTTTTGGTTGTACCTTCCATTTGTTTGAATCTTGGTCCTATATTTGTCCATGATTTTTCTAACTGGTTGATAAATTGGATCCATTTCAATCTGTTCGTCGGTTGCTGGTTGATGTGAGTGCCAAGTTTCTAAGACTTCTCTGGTATTTTCAGAAATGCCTCCATCTACGATTTCCACATCGAATATGTGTACACAGTTTTACACGTCCATTGATATAAGTGAGGATATGTCATGGAGTTTGACAACTAATTGGTGTTCATGTAGGCGAAATGACGAGGGCATCCGCTTTGTCCGATGTAGTGTTTCTCGTAGTTGGCGCAATTTATTTCGTAGATTATGTTTGGTTTATCTTCTTTTATCATTCCATCTTTTGGTTTGCAAAGAATAGATTGTAGCAATTTTGTTGGTTTGTGTGCCACACCTATTCCGAAAGGTTTCAACAATCTCGTTGTAGTTTCTGATATGTCTTTTATGTATGGTAGAGTGATCCGTTTGTTGGTTTCAGAAGAACGATGAAAGCTCCACGACCAAACCACCTAGCTCAGAGAACAAAACTTCATCAAAATCATCCACTTCAGCGACAAATCTTCTCCACCACATAAAATCTTATAGAAGAAAAAGGATTTCCAGCAAGTTATTTAATAACTGTTCATAAGTATAAATGATAATTTTTTATCTATTAATGGTAACAACTCTCTATAGATTTAATAAATTATGTTAAGAATAAATGTAAAGTTGATTATTCAAACTTACAGCTATCCATGACTCAAGAGTTTTTCCTGTTAAACTAATAAATTCTTTTTTAATACGACCCATATCAATACCAGAACGTCCAACAACTATACGTATCAATGTTGAATCAGTTGTTCCAGCGCCTCTCATGGAAGCTTTTAATCTTTCAGCAAAATATTTCTGTTTATTTATAACACATCTCACTGCAATAAGAATTAAAAGAAATCAGTTTAAATTCATTTCGAAACAATTAATTATGGACACAAGTTACTTAATGAAGACGGACTATGTGTTTCAAGTGATCTACAAGGTAAGTAGAAGTCTTCCAATGACAATTATATCGCATCGCCTTAGCATTGCCGAAGCAATAGCCATACATCTGGTAAAACCAGAATTGTTAGTCCAAAAGAGATTGGTAAAGGGTCTTCTTCTACCATGTTCTTAGTGTCGCACAATTTTTTTTCTTTCTTCATACTCTGCTTCCTTTATAGTCATCTGCTTTCCCATCAATCTCCTTAAACCTTCTACTCCTAACTGCTTTATTTCTGTTTCTATGGCCTTCCTGATTACATTTAATCTCAATTTCAGCATTCTATATTATCATACTGAGCCATGCTTTTCAATTGTTAATTTAACTATCTATCTTTTGATGAATATTTGAGCCAGTACCAATCAAACGATTGCTAAGTTCACTTGTTGTTTACGTGTATCTTTCCATTGTTATTTAGGACTGTAATTTATCAGTCTCTTGTTGGCATATGGGCATCCTGTGAGGACTGCCTCAATATTGCCTTGAGTCACAAGCGTTATAAGCAAAGATGGATAGTGGCTAGCAGTGGAATCAAGAATGCGCATTTCGTTCTGTTTGGGACTTGTCAGTAGGATGATGATGTTCACTCTGGGACTCGAACCCAGTACCGTCTCAAGTAGGACGAAACGCGCGTCCTGGATTCCACTGCTAGCCACTATCCATCTTTGCCTTCAAACGATTATAAGTTTCCCTGTTTAAGAAAATTTTTAATACCTTTGTTTATTCTAGCTCACTGTCACCATGTTTAACAGAAGTTTTATCATTATTACTGTAATTATTATCATCCTGAAAAGTAAGTTTATACATATGCAATTATACACCTTTGAGAGTGAGTTCGCCGAAAAGAGAACTATTCGCTGGACCAATCTCTCTTATTTAATGTCTTAATGGATGTATTCCGTTTACTAATTAGTTTTCCATTTCCATTAATGTTTTTTTTGGTAAAATATTGACTAATATCCAAAATGTTAAGTCCACTGAACAATCAAACACTTTAGGATGTCGTTGTATCCCAACAAGATAAAATAAATAAAATATTCTGTTCATATATTTCGGCTATAATCAAAATTAACATTTAAGGCTTCGGTCGATGAGTTAGAAATTATTCTACTCCAAACTCTAATTGGTGAGACTATAATTTATAGCAATGCTAAAATGACCTTAAAAATGTCCATCTACTTACTACGGTTAAATGAGGGTTATAAATTAGTGCGACGAACTAGGATTAAGATTTGCAGTTGGACGTTAGGGTTAGAAATTATATTCGATGTTTCCATCACGAACTGACATCAACTATAATGCCGAAATAGTATTTAGCCAAATAAGTGGATGAATCTCGCACCAAAATCTAAGATTTGCTATATTAAATCTGATTGGTTTGTCCATAAATTATAGTCTCGCCATTACGGATTGACTTCGGTTAGATGACTAGGTTTCACTGGATAGCCTTTTCATAAATCTAATGTTTATTTAAACAGATTTCACATAGTCGGTAATAGATATCAGTACATAAGTAAAAAATTAGATCAAAACCGGAGAATAAATGACAAAGGTTATGTATGAACAGGTCCGAAGTGAAACTTACCAACAGTAAGCATAGCTCGAAGTAAATCTCCACTCATTTCTGATTTTAAAGCACTTTCAATATCTCTTCTACCAAGTGTTGAATAGTGCTGAAAAACTGAACGTAAGTGAGCATAAGATCGATGACAGATGATTTGAATAAATCTGTAGAGATAAGGAATATTCAATTAGATCTTGTAGAAAATCAGTATATACGTTTATTAGTCAATAAGTCTGCAATCAAATCAAACGGTAATTCTACTATTTTTATAATTATTCAATCGAATAATGAATGGTTATGACAGTTGTAATGAAAATAGTTGGAATTCAAGCAATTAACACGTAAATACAAATTGTCTGACATTAAAGTTTATCTACTATTATATTCGATTGTCCTTATTCACATTTAGAATCCTGCTATTACCCAACAGATTTCGATTTTCTATAAACAAGCAGGTGGCTGTCATGACTTAGTAGGTAAGTGGAGAACGCAGTGGCGTTTGAAGCGAACGGTACCGTTTTCGAGTCCCGGAGTGAACATCAACTCTGAGATGCAGGTATATCCGGCTGACGAGTCCAAAATATGACGTAACGCGCATCCTTGATTCCACTGCTCGCCACTATCCATCTTCTCATTATTATTATACTTAGTTCAATATTTAAAAGTTTTAATAAAATATCTACTTCATTGTGTTATCCTATTGGAAAAGAGAATCGAATGAATACATAGAATCAATACCGTTGTGGTGTGTGTTACTAATGTCGACAGATATAAGCAGTATATGTCATCAATCGAGAGTGGAATAGCTGGCGGCAGAAGGTTGTGAAAATCAAAGAGAGGAAAATTAAAACAGAGAATGGTTGATATGGAAACGAAGGAACAACAAAGTCTGAGACAATTGATGGATATTTTGCAAACTAAGTATTTACTGCATTGTTCTCAGATTTTCCTAAGAAAGTTGTATTTAATACATTTGGTTGTCACCCAATTGTGTTCACATTCACTACACCGAAGGTCTTCATAGAAAATATGTCCACCGAATCATGTACACTAATGATATCTAATCACAGGTTCTTCTGAACGAGTTATTGACATCTTTGCTGAGCTACTTTCAGACTTCGTTTAAAAGTCATCAGCTATACTCGTACGACAGAAAAAGTTGTTTCCAGTGGATTCTGGAAATCGTTCCATTTTATATCAGTTCAACGTTATTGTACAGTTTGTTGATTATTTTAATAGAAAAAAAATGGATATTTGTTGGAGAACTAGTGTAAGCTAAAAAAAATTCAGGAAAACGGTTTCAATCCTGACGGTACTCATTCACAACTCACTTTCAGACCGGGAAAAAATGAATATCAACCGAGTGTAATTCTAATGTCTATGCGTACAGACCTTGAACGGAATAACTAGGGACATATATATATATAATACACACTAGTGCATTATCTTGTCAAATACACAACCCTTTTTCATTGTGTATCTGTCTATCTAAAAATATTTGAGTGATTTACACTAACTATTGGTTTGGATTCATTCAGAGTAGGTGTCATGGGTTCCACTGCTACCCAATATCCATCTTTGCTTATTATTCTCATTATTTTCATAAATTTCCAACAAGAAATTTAATTTTTGTAACATGTCGGCCACATTAAAAATTAAACTGTGACTGACAAACCAAAACGACAATTGGGAATACACTTTGTAATCATAATTCAATTCAATATATCTATAACAAAAAAATATTGACATATTAAAAAGAAATATCAGTATGAAGTTGTGGAGTTAATTAAATTTTTTATTGAAATGATGAACCGGTTAATTTTAGACCACCATTGAAAACCTGGAAGCACTGGACGCCTGTTTCGTCCTACTGTATGACTCCTCAGCATTGAGAATCTACGACAGTTAACAATTTGACTCTCAATAATTAGAATAATACATTATTAGTGATGAATTATGAGTAACCTTAATATCTAAAGTCAGGTAGAACTTCAGTAAGATAATGTCTCTGATAGCCAGTACGTTTTCAGAAAGAATATTTAATATTATGTTATAATGTTAATGATGATTCAATAAAAGCAAGAAAATAAAAGATATTCAGAGTTCACCTGTTTAATTAAGAATTGGGTATCAATATTCATGACATATATTGACATAAATATCGTATATGAGCAGGTGAAGCACTTAAAAATATGAAGTGACCTATTACCTATATGAAGTGAAAGTGTATGTCTATACGCACTAGTCAGTCACGATGACTATGACTAAGAATTTCGTGTTAACATAGAGAGTTTGTAGAAAGTTTTCAATTTGAGAATATTTTAAATCATGGACCGAATTTTGTTAGACACCAAGATGTAATCGATATCTGCTTAATCCGGTTATGATACTCCTAATCATTACGGACCCAATGACTACATCAGCGATTAAACAGAAGATCTTCAGGTTACGTGATGAATACATTAGCTTTAGACTAATAAGTTAACGTAGTTCAAAATCCTAACTATAGTGATATGATGAGATTTCATTAATATCGCTCATCCACTTGGAGTCAGTTCATAATGTCAACTACAAAGGCTCAATAATCGTAAGTAATAATAAATGAATCTGCAAAAGAATAAAAATTTCCTTTAGAAAGACAATAAGAACTTTTTTTCATAGGAATAATGTAAATGATTATAATGTAAAGTTATTTTAAAACAGTAATATTTATGTAAGGGGAATATTTCATATAAATTACTGGACAAATTATTAACTCACTTTGATTCATCTGTTCCCCATCTTTGCTCTCCAGCTTTATATAATTCTTCTGCATCTCTACGTGCTCGACACTCATCAACATTTTGACTTTCATCTCTATCCCCTTGTACTAATGCTACTAAGATACGTTTGAAATATCCAGATGTTTCATCTTTTAAATCTTTTTCTAGGGAACGACCTTTGTAAACTATTTAGGATAAAAGATTATAATTTTGATTGAAATCGTGTATATTGGGAGTTCATATTTAAGGTTATTAGTCCATGAAGCAAAGATTATTCCACTTGAAATTTTGTCGCATTTTTGCATGTAATCAGAATTAGTTTATTCAACGATTTATTGTTCTACTTCATTGATGCGTATAAAATACTCAATCATTCCCCTATTGTATTTTCTTAAATTAGTTACACATGTAGATAATGAGTACTATTTCTACTAAATGATAACTCTTTAGTTGTTTATATAGTTAGTAGGTATACGAAGTTTGATTATATATAACTTACAATCTAACAGTATGTTTTTTTTGCAAATTAGATATAAATAAATAAGTTGAATATAGCTATGTCATTCATTAAGTTGGCTTGTTATGCTAAACTGTCATCAGATACCGATATGTACACTTTCCATACGCCATTCTAACTCACTACTTGAATGAAGGGAAAGGAAGTGAAAAAAAACCCAAATCGAAATATATACACAAATTCATTCATGAATTTTATTGGGTCCATTTATTAAAAATAACATTAGATCAACCAGAAAAATGTATTCAAGGCCAAGAGATCATTGTAACATGCTGACGAGAGAACATTATAGGTTGAAATTTAAGTCAGTTAATCTAAGGACATGGCTAAATTTAAGGTCATATTAATTATGTAAAATCCTCTATTCTGTTACAAACAAACTGGAATCTCATAGTTGAAATGAATTTTATTTTTTCATTCGATCCATAGTGTTGTAACGGGTGTGTGACTGCAGGTTTTTGATAAGCAGCGTGATTTATCGATCGCGATCTGTGACAGTGACACGGAAAACACGTACGGACGACCTAGTGCCCTGATTGGCCCTGCTTCGCTGTCCGTCCTAGCCCAGTTGAGTGAAGAACACAAGTCACAGCCTCTGAGTTATGAATCATTGTATTTCAAACATACTCTATTTATATACCAAGCAAACAAACCATATCGTACCATAAAATAGGAAACAACATTTGTACAATATTTAACAAGTGAAATAAACATCGACCAATAAGAAATGTACATTTAAGGTTCAAGGACGCCATTGGACTTAACATGATAATTATTGGTCTCTTTTTCCGACTATCCTAACACATAGAAAGACGATTCGGAAGCTAAACATTGTAATCTAATAATATAACAAACTAACTTGTGCAGAAGACAATTTTTCCAAACATGTTAGTTTAATATGTGGGGCTTATATTTAAATACATAAAATATTTAATATTTATGAGTTCACTGCAACTCATCATATTTTAAAAGACTCTCCAAGTATATTTGGATGAAATAAGCATGAAAGCTAGCTTCGAGATTTCAGTTTTATGCCATAACCAAGGCCTTTCTATTTTATGGTAAAAACAATCAACTGTTCACTGGTAATTAGTTTGAAGATTAATTTTGCTGCAAGTTCTACTGAAAGGCGTGATATATGGAATCTCTTAAGTTCATAGTAACTCAGTTATTGCTTATAATATGACATTATAATGCTCCTGTCATATCATAAATGAATGTTTAAGAGTCTAAACCTTTCGGTTATAATTATGTTGATATTTCATTTACTGATTGCTGAGAATTCCCAAACTATCATGGAAAAATCTATACAATCCGTTCCAATTGTTAAAGGTTATTCTGGTGATATCAGGAAGTAAAGAAAGGTTCCCACCGCCTCTCAGTAAATTTTTCATCATGGCTCTACACTAATATATATATATTCCATATTATTTTAAAAGCAGGGAATTTACTTACTTCTTGTATAAGCTTCACATATCTCCCTTATCTGTTCATTCGTTCGAGTGCATAGAATTTCAATCAAAACTTCTTCATTTGTACCAGCACCACGCATTGCTTTACGTAGTTCTATTGCATCTAATTCCGATGGAGATCGACATAATGCTATCATACATTCACAAAAATGTCCACTTAATTCAGATTCAAACTTAGAAGTTAATTCTTTTCCAAACATTGCCTTATATTTTTTTGTTATTATAACACGTTGGTTAGGACTTCTACGACCCATTACTTCTATTAATTCTTTTTCATTTGTTCCTAAACCAGCCATTGCTTTTCGTAAACGTTCACAATCTTCTTCTGGATTAAAATTTTCTGCATCTTTAACTGTTGGTTCAAACTAAATAGATAATGAAAATGGGCTGATTTAAATAAATACATTTATAAAATAGTCAAGCAATGCTATCTGAATGAATGGAATTACCATTTTTATCTTGTCATGATTTTGCACATATCGCCATCTTTCTCATAGTCACCGTAAGACCTAAAACTCCAGCAACATAACTATATGTATAATTGAAGGTGATGCCCAGTGCTTCCTCATTTTCAGTGATTTTCAACGGACGTTTTATCGTAAGGTGGTGGTTGGAGGTAGTCAACAGGAAACCCTGGACCTAGGTTTCGTGCTACCTGACACTCGTCAGCAAAGTGTACCTGTAATCTTGAGAAAACTGATGCTCCCTGACGGATTTGATCCCGTATCACCCAGCTTCACAGTCAGAGACGTTTAATCGTAATAACAAATACATTCAAAATACTACTTTATTGAAAATACTTGATCAGAATCAGATATTTTTTTTTAAGAGCAAACATCTAACAGCTATTCAACACGTAAGCTTTGTAGATTTTGAGAATTATCTTAAACAATACGATCAATTTCTAAACATTCACCAGTAAATACATGTGAAAACAATGTTTACAGAAAAACAATCATGTGACAGAGACAGATCTCAGTCCTTCCATCAATACCGAATGAAATGTGTTACTGAAGTTATTAATTATCTCATTTATACATATTGACTTTATATTGCTAATATGTATCTTTGATCACCATTTGTATAAGAATTAATGATCAATAATATTTATAATGAAGGTTTTATCTGATAATTTCCTAAACAACCACTAACTTCTTCGATATTGTAGTTTGACCTTAGAGCTATAAGTCAGTTAATTATTTTTAAAAGCATGTAGCTACCCAAAAAATAGCAGTGAATATTCAATACAACAGGATTGTATAAATGAAGCCGAATAATACTGTATTTATTAAGCCTTCATGTACTTAACTATTTACATAGTCTGTTAAATGAGCAGGCCAATAAGACCATTAACTATGACTATCTGGAGTTTCTGACCTGTAAGCCGATTACTATGCTGAACCATCCTCACCAATCACCAGAACTAAACCTGTGGTTTCAGAGTTCTTCGTATGAAGTAGTGATCAAATGTAGCAGCCTGAATTTTAAAAAATTCCAAGAATGTGATGTATGATGGAAAACAAAGATGGTATAAGCATACTCTTAGTCATGGGTACAGATTGTTAGGAAGTCTCAAACTAAGGTAAAACAGAAATCAAAAATACTTCTTGATTTTCAATAGTTATCTAATCAAATTCAGTTTACCTCTAAAATGCTTGATAATATTCACAATCCCCATCTACCCCTTATGGAACTATGATCATCAGATTTTACCTTAACCTCAATAGACTTTCTCTCTATGTGCAAATGCTCGGCCATTGATTTACATTTTTTTCTTCCTATATTACTTACTGACATATTATCGGTCAACATTATTTACATTTACTTCTGAATAATACTTTATTACTATTATTGTGGCGTGTGCTACTTATATTGACATAAGTAGTATATGATGTTCGTCGTGAACAGAAGGTCTGACAGCAGAGAGACAAGAGGATCGAACAGTAAAGAATGGAAACAGGATACAATTTGTATGAAAATGCAAGAACGATGAAGTCTGAGTCATTTCGAGACAATTGGTGGACAATTTGCAAATTAAGCATTTACTGTATGATTGCTAGATTTTATTAACAAGTCCTGGTGTTCGTGTTCACTGCATTACCATTGAATCTACATAATTACTATGAGATAACGGACCCATTTATTTAAAAAATGTTGTTTATAAAATCCTCCTAACAATCTCATTTTACACAAACAGAATATTCATAAATGAAACTTTTCTTCTATAATTTAGTTTTGTTTTGATAAAAAAAAGTTTTTCTATTTATGTACTTTTTATCTTATTTTTCGGTAGGGCGTTTTTTTACAACGACCTTATATCAGCTGTCATTAAAAATGTAAACTACTGTATTCCAATTCAATAGTCTATTATTATATTACTTACTAGATTATGAACTCACTCCTACACAGGGTTGTGAATGTTCACTAGTGATGGGAGATAAGTTAGGATCTGTAAATAATCGATTTACTTTAAAAGAAAGAGGAATTTCAAGATCATTCAAGGCATATAAATAAGCCTATTAACGAAGAGTGATAATTAAAAGCTTTCCATCTACTTGCCTCAACATCATTAAGATTTAAATAGATTTCAACCGCTTAAGATTATTAGATTATAATAACAGACAAAGAAATAACATAGCCTTTCTTCCAAGTTCCATTAACTAAACTAAACTAAATTATTTCAAATACACAATCTGAATTAGTCCTTATATACTGCTGAATGATTAAGGATAAACAATAATCTTTTCCTGTTTTAACTAATCTAGTCCATTTAGTGTAATCTACAGATTGAAGTTAACTCTAAATATAAACGTCATTGTTCAATAGTGCAATTACTAAATAAATGAATTACAAGTTAGTTGAATATAGTTGTTGACGAACTTCATAAGTTTCACATATAACCTTCTAGGTAAAACTAATTTGTTAAGCTAGAGCATACCTTATCAATATTTAAGAATTAATGAAAACTACTACTGAATTTTTAAAAAAATAGATAAATAAAGCCAAATGAAGTGCATACATGTTGATAGACGTATATGACTTACAATCTCACTATTAGGATTGGATTGGCAGATATTCTGATCAGTTCGTAAATTGCTACCATTATTATATTCATTAGTTTGTGTTCCAAAACGAGGGGCTCCTGGAACATAACCCGGTGACTGTGCAACAGGATATGGGTTATTTCTTGGAAAATTTTCTCCTTGTGGTGAATATCTAAATCCAGTTGGATTGGAAGGTTGAAATCCTCCAGAAAATGAATTAGGATAGTATCCTGATGTATAATCTGCACCTGCCACCATAGGCTCTGGACCTCTACCCGCGAATCCTATCCCTCCATCTATTGAACTTTGTCCCCCTACTGAAAGTTCTAGTCCACTTGTTGTTGGTAATCCCTGTCTCTTACCTGAGAACCCTGGTCCTCCAACCGGGTAACCTGGTCCTCCAACCGGATAACCTGGTCCTCCATCTGGATATCTTGAATTACTATTTGGATAATTTGAACTTTGATTAGGAATAGTATCTTGTGTTCCTGATAAATTCCATGCACTCAAATCACGGTAATTAGGATTCATTTAACTATCGGGAAAAAAAATGTAACGATCACTTTATGATTGTATCAATTAATTCATACATTGTTATATCTAGATAAATCATTTAAATATAAATGAGCTAATCATTCATTGGTTAATTTGATCTGAATGCGTGGGTGGATTTTGTGATGAGTAGATATGAAAAACTTACTATAAATATCTTATTTCATTTCTTATTGGATAAATGAAATATTCAATTAACCTTGTGAAGTGAATTCTTTCAACAGTTTTTTCATTACTATTTCACTAATAATTAGTTTTGTGTGTAATAAGTTGCATTTTAGTGAATCTCATAGTTACTAAAAATAAAGAAATAAAGGATTTAGCAAGTTTCATCATGTGAATTTCAGTGAACATAAAAACAAGTGGTAATTTACTAGAATGTTGATTCTTCTTTTTGAAGTAGATAATCTGATTCAGAAGATTTAGATTTATCATTTACTTACTTACTTACACTTGTTACTCCTAATGGAGCATAGGCCACCGACCAGCATTCTACAACCCACTCTGTCCTTCTTTTCTAGTTCCATCCAATTCCTGTTCATTATTCTTATGTTTAATTCTATTTCCCGGCGTAATGTGTTCTTTGGTCTTCCTCTTTTCCTTTGGCCTTGAGGATTCCATGTGAGGGCTTGTCTTGTGACACAGTTGGATGCTTTCCTCAATGTGTGTCCTATTCACTTCCAGCGCTTCTTCCTGATTTCTTCCTCCGCTGGGATCTGGTTTGTTCTCTCCTACAGTAGGTTGTTGCTAATAGTGTCGGGTCAACTGATCTGAAGTATTTTGCGTAGACAACTGTTAATAAACACTTGTATTTTTTGGATGGTGGCTTTCGTAGTTCTCCAAGTTTCTGCCCCATACAGTAGGTCTGTCTTGACATATGTATTGAAAATCCTGACCTTGATGTTGGTAGATTTATCATTTACTTTATCGAAAATGCTGTTGAAAAGCATACAGATTATTATGTAATTAACAGACACATTGATCCAGTCTGTTAAATTATGTAGGAAATGTAAATAAAACACATAACCAGAGGTAAACTTAAACGAACAAAATTATAATAGTGAAAATGTACATGAAGAAAATAATAAATAATTTATTTATTTATTTGAATACATAAATATTGGTACAAAGGAGCACCGCATACATATGTACCACACAAGTCACTTGATTTGTGTGTCGGCTATGATACTATCCGGATGCTCAAACTGAAGCAGATGGTTTTCTTAGGGAGCCAAATTCCGAGCCTTCGACTTAAAGGTTTGATCCGAAAGTCACTGGAGTAACGTCAGGAGATGAGATTTCCAAGATAACTGAAGCGGTCGACAGTACCAGAGCAGTACCAGAGCATTTGGGGTAATAATAAATGCAGTATCATTTAACTCTATTGTCTTGTATTGAAACGAAAAATTCAATCCCCTTTTGTTTTTGATGCTTTGTAACTGATATCAGTCAATGACAGTTGTCTATGATGAAAATTCACTTCAAGTTTATCACTTCCTAAAAACTCTTTACACTAATAAAAAGAAAACAAAACAATCAATTTAATAAAGTCATAAAAAATTCATTCTAAAATACTCAATAATCTTAATTCTTACTACCTGTATATGCAATAACCATTGAATCATCTTTGTAAGTTAGTCAAGAAATTTCTTTCGTTTTCTTAAAGATCCTTGAATAACTGCAATAACAGTAAACGATTCACGTTCTAGAATCAGAAATAACTAAAATCACGATTAAGAATTAAAAAACATAATAATTATCTCACAAAAGATGGTCAATATCTTATTGAAGTGTTATTTACTAAGGGTATGAAATGTTTAATTAAACTTTCACATTACTCTACTGAAAAAAAATCTACTAACGGACAAAAATTCATTAATGGTAAGAATAATAATCTTAAACTACATTTTCAGCAGTCAGAAAGCAGGTAATGTAAATAATTTACAATGTAAGTACGATACAAAGTAGTATTATCTTTCATGGGTTTCAGAATTGAATGATGGAAAAATTCATTATTCCTAATAAGTCTTTTCGCCAGAGCACACTCAAAGAAAAAAATGCCACTTTACATTCGTTCACAACTATTTTATGTACCCAATCGGAGAAATGAGGGAAGCGAAAAAGAGGAAGGCCAAAGAACACATTGCGTCGGATAATAGAAGCAGATATGAAAACGATGAATTACAACTGGACGGAGCTAGAAAGGATTGCCCAGGACAGGGTTGGATGGAGAATGCTGGTGAGCGGCCTATGCTCCTTCACGAGGAGTAACAGGCGTAAGTAAGTAAAGGTAATCGGAGCAATGCATGTTTCTTAATATTTCAACGATTTTAGAATTTTCGGATTTATACGGCATGGTAAAAAGAAGTCAGGTCCGCTCAAAGCCACCCGCTGTTTTGTTTAAACGACCTTGAATGGCCTGACATGAGACAGCCATTTTGTAATTCCATTGCTGTGGGTTTGTTGGGTGCCCGCTGAGTTGCACGAATATTAGGTTTTCTCATATTTAAGTGGTCTTTTGCTGAAGCAAAACCACAAAGTGATTGTGAAGAATATTGATTTAGCTCTCCCTCTGTCTTATAGTGCACACGTTGGATCGATTGTTACTTCGTAAATTTCCAATCTCCTTATTTTTGGGGAAATTTTGTCCTGTTTGGGCATATTTTGAGGGAAACTATCGTAGAAAACGTTGAGGAAATGGCAAGAAAGCCCAGAAATTTCTCCAGGTCTGGGGAAAATCCCTAAAATGTTTAGGGAAATTTTGAGTTTTCCCCTATATTTCCACTGAAACTTATTACACTTTAAGGTTTTTCCCCGAACTTTGGAGAAAACTACTATATTTCCTATGACTCCGGGGAAAACCCCAAAATTTGCTTAAAGTTTACCCAAGATACTGAAAATCAAATACCAACTGAGATACCAATTTCTTTACTGAACCTCACCGCTTTGTTTAAAATTTGCTTAAAGTTTACCCAAGATATTGAAAATCAAATACCAACTGAGATACCAATTTCTTTACTGAACCTCACCGCTTTGTTTAAAATCTGATAATTTCCAGGAAACTACTTAGCAAAAATAAGAATAATTTAACAGTTCTAGATACGCGAACGTTATGTGGATCGCTGTTTTACTCAACGATTAAGAGGAAATATCAAATAACCGGTGAGTCTTAAATGTTGGTAGTATTTCCTTCAGTTAGTGAACTGTTTTTGCGACAAATAACTGATTTTTAATAACTACCCAGTGCTGTTGGTAGTACTTCATGTTCAAGAGATATTTTAGTCAACGTAAGCGAAGCGTTTCAACGTATAATACTGAACAGGCGTTTCAGAAGCTGGACTTGTTATAACTTTATGTTCGGCTTTTTATCACGTGATTTATCCACCAATCAAAATACGACTTATACAATCTTAGCACTGTGCCAAACCCATGTCGTTTGACCGGTATGAGCAGCCTGGCGTCCTTATAGGTCCTATGTCCGTTTAGCCCGTCCACTTGAGTCCAGAACACAAATACCAACTTCTGCAATATGAATCATTTATTTCAAACATACTCGGTTTATATATCAACCAGACAGACAACAACGTACTATAAAATAGAAAATAACATTTGTACAATACTTGGCCAAATGTGGCTGTGAACGTGGGAGGTAGTAGTCAATAAACTGAACATAGCTTAAAAACTGTAAATTGTACACTCATAATATGTAGGTCAAAATGAAGCTTATAATAAAAGGAATATAAACATGCATAATTTAATTATTGAATAGTTATAACATAAGAATGTATAGATAATATTATTCAATTAATCTGTCTCAGATGTTACTCGTGATTTAATCTTCGCTCGGATATAACAGGACTGAATTCCGTAGTGTGTTAAAAAATTTCAAAACGTAGGGTAGAGTAACTTTTTCCCCTCTCAAACTACCCATACTCATTACATTCATGTCGAAAGTAAACTGCTTTTTGATCAATTCTACTTTGTAGATGTTCGTTATTTCAGTTTTTAATAACGAATAATTTTGGGCGGGGGCGTCCTGTTCTGTTTGCCTGGAAGCGGAAAGAATTGCGAGTAGATGTAACCTGAATCGTGGATAAATTGGGACATGCCGATGTCTTTGCCGTCATATGCTTCTGGTATACACAAGAAGGCGAACTCTTACAGGTAAGCTCGGTCAATTATGAAATATAAACTGTATAGTTTATCATATTCTTAGAAATCGCAATAGATGGAAGGTAGATAATACGCACACCTTCCTTAATAGCACAATAATTTTACTACCCAGACAAAGCAAACAGTGTGTACAGACTCATCAAATCCAATGTTTACATAAGAATCATCAATAACTAGGTAAAACTGCAGTTTCACTAACGCTTGTCTTTGTATAGTATTCTTTACGATAGAAAATATGGATCGGAATACAACAAAGTGTGGCGACGTGACAAGAACTGTTTACTATGTGAGGTTCTTTGTAGTAGTATTTTTAACTTAACTATATATCCAACTTGTAAACTGATTTTTCTGCATCAAATGTTGCTCTTCCTGTACCAGTAGTAATGATGCATCAATAAACTATTGCCCAATTTTTATTTCTGTCTTCTTCGTAGTTTCATGGGGAGATATACCGATAATCTTAACAAATAACTTTTTGTGAAAATTAAAAACAACTAAGTGTTTGCATTATAAGTACCCGTTTCGTTACGAAAACTTGTAATACTGCATCAATTTAGAAGTCTCGCTAAAATGTTGCGTTGTATATATAAGCTTTAATATTATGACAGTATATTCGGATGAATACTTGTAGTTGTTTCTTAACCACACAGTCTTCGAAGCCAAGCATATAGTGAGTGAAAAGATAAATATTCGATATTTAACACTTGAAGGAGGTTGGAAATGGTGGTCATGGAGACATTCATTCAATCAGATGGCATGACTCAGCCTTACAGACGTGGTCGTTACGTGTAACTTATTACCATTCACAAGAAATATATTATTATATCCCCAGCCCAAATGTGTTCTTTAGAAGTACTACGTATCATTGTTAATTGT